GGGTTGCCCGTTAGCCAAGGTGCTGACTACCCGGCGCCTCCACAGGTGGCGTATAGTAGAACGATCTTCTTCGAAATAAGCAGACTGTCGGGTCTGGCGAATAAGCAGCTGTGGACCAGCAACAACAGGGCTATCAGGGTGCGGCTGGCTGAGGTTTAGCATCCCAAAAGCCTTTACAAAAAAAAACTGCAAAGTCCAAAGATGGTACTGTAACATGGCGACTGTGAACGATCGTTAAATAATTTCGCTTACCACCGCTGCATTGTGGCTAGACACTTGAGCTAAAGCGTTATGAGAAACAATCTCGAACAGACGATCCAAGCGGCTGTTGGGGACCCGTCCGTATTCACAATTCGAAATTTCCGTTCGCACCCCCTTGAAAGTTCTCCTCTTCTTAGCGCCCAAACTGCCACTTGCTAGGCGCTTCGATGTTGCGCATATCCGGTAACCTAGCACCGTCGAGAGCCTTAAGAGAGAAATTTGGTCCTATTTTACGACCCAAACCGACCGACAGGATGTTTTGTCTGCTGGATTTTTTCAAGAGTATATGAACGCAAACCCGATACTCCTTTTTATGCTCATAATATCTCGAATACAGACAGGTGCTGACCTGGAACCGACAGCCAGACAGCCACGTAATGTGTTTGGGTGCCTAGCCTTTTAATATATTCCCCGCCAGACTGCAAGTCCACTTCGCAGGCCGTGCGTTATGATATGCTTACACCATTTTGCGAGTCATGATGCTCCGTGGCCTCTTTGCGGTTGCTACCGTTATCAGACATGTCCGCATGAACTTCTCTCATTATGTAATCACCCGGAGATTACACTTTTCCTGATAAATTATTGTCAGTACTTTATATCGTAACGGGGGTCAATTCAAAATATGTAGTTAATAGGATAAATTGAGTGACGTTAATATATGGGGTATATGGGGTATAGATAGAGAAGGGGAAGGCAGTCAGTATCAATTCAGTCAGTCGATGAGATAAAACCATACCTAGGAGAGGAAAGAGGAACGCGAAGAATTAAATGCAGTTACACTAATCGACATCTGCCCAGGATAAACGGTAGATTACCCTTTCCGCTGTTGTCATTGTAGGTGACGTTTTATTCTCCTCTGAACCTCATCATCTAAGTGCTTCTTTTTGAAGGATTTTGACATCGCCGGTGAATATGGCCTCATGCTGCCGGATTCCGAATGTTTGCGAATCATCTATGAAGTACTGATAGAACTCGAATTGGGCGATTTCGTAATCAAGGTGAACCACCGGCGTTTACTGGATGGTCTTTTCACCGCTTGTGGAGTCCCTCCAGAAAAATTCACTGCCGCGTGCTCGGCTGTTGACAAACTCGACAAGGTATTTAACCATGCTCGTTTGCCCTGCTTACTGCTGCTTCCAGTCCTGCAGTTACTGATTTCTTTGTCCTTTTTACGCACAGCTGCCATGGGAAGAAGTGAGGAAGGAACTCATAGAAGAGAAGGGCCTACCGGAGTCAGTCGTTGAGTTGATTGGCGAATACACGCAAATATCCGGAGGCATGGACGTCCTTGATCGGCTGGCTAGCGACGAACGTCTAGCCAACAACAAAACTATTCAAGATACCCTGCCCGAAATGCGGACACTCCTCGAGTACTGTCAAGCCTTGGGCATAATGGATCGTCTGCGCCTGGACCTCAGCCTTGCCCGGGGGTTAGATTACTACACCGGTGTCATTTATGAGGCTGTCCTAACAGGTATGTCGCCACGTGATC